CGGCACTCCCGCCCGCCCCTACCATGGCGAGGCGGTGGCGGCGGTGGGCTCGCCTCCCGACGCGGGCTCCGCGCTCTACCAGGTAGGCCGGACCGGGAGGGCCCGGGTCCCTCCGCCCGGCGGGCCGCAAGGCCGCGCAGGGGAGGGAGGATCCGTCGGGCGGAGTCTGGGGGCGGGCAGTAGTACCGAGCACCCGGCGGTAGGCAGGGGCTGGGCGGGCCCCTTGGCCGCCCTCCGCTCCTAGGCCTCAGCTGAGGGAGAGGCGCCGGTCGCTGAGGGGAGGTCCCGGCGTAGCGGTGGGCCCTGGGCCGGGCCGGGGAGAACACGCACCAGGGGGAGATGGGCTCTGAGTGAAAGTCCAGCGGTGGCCATTTAATAGATAATGGCGTTGCGTTTATTACGGTGGGCGTTTAATACACAGATTAAACGTGCGGCTCTGAACCGGCCCGCGGCCTCCCTGCCCTCAGGCCAGGTCTCACAGCGCTGCTCCCCCCGCCACCCTTCCTAAATGCCAACTTCTGTTTATTTCATTGAAGTACCGTGTAAAAAGGACGTGGGTTTGTACCGTCGTCTGCCTCATTATGGATTTTATTTTTTTTTACACCTTTCTTTTTATTTAAAGTCAGGGTACCGTCTCTTCCCGCCTTTCCAGTGTTGAGAGCTGATCGATACCGCAGGAATGAAGCGGTGGGAAGGGATCTGTGGGCGGTTGAAGGTGGTGTCTGATGATTGCAAAGTTGGAAATTTTATTGTATTTGCAAGTTGATTCCTGAGTTGAAGACAGGTGGAATAATTTTAGAAAGTTACAGGCATGCCTCCAGAGGCTGGGATACCACCAGAAAGAATCATCTTTTGAGGAGGAGTAGGTGGAATGCCAGTTGTCTTTACAAAGGCAACAGTAGGTGTGTCTAGTGTAAATTGTTTTCTTTTTAAAGAGCCACTATTAATGTCATTGTATTCATAATAAAAATCATGTTTACAGTTAGGCTGAGAAAAACAGAGTTTGGGGCATGGATCAAAACTGGTCACAGTTTGTTCTCAGATTTGTTCCTAGTAAAATACCAAACAGCAAGTGCAGCAACAGCATGGATTGTTACTGAAATAGTTCCTTTGATTGTGTGTTTGGTTTTGCAGGAACTAAATTTTGGGACAGAAGCTAGGGGACTGAAACGTCTTTAAAATTTCAGTATATGTGCATATATGCACACATACAAAGCTTCTATAAATGAAGTGCATATATATATGTGTGTGCATATTCATATTTTGCATACCAGAAAACCCAAAGAGTAATATTTTAATAAAAGTATTTATTCAGCAAAGCTGTTACTAGATTTGCATTTGTGTGTATGTACCTCTTGATCTCAAAAAAACCCAAGGCTTGGTAAAATAGCTAATAGTATTTGGTAGGAATGATTTATGGAGCACTGTAAATTTGTGTAGTGCTTTACAGACACAAAGAGCCAAAGTCCCTGCTGTGAGGCACTTAACCATCTGAAATAAAAGTAATACAGGGAGTAACAGTGCAAACACAAGAAGGCATAATGGTACATGATGAAGGTCTTGCCTTCTTTAGCTAATGTTTGCCTTTCTGGCTGTGAATTCAGCTAGACAGGCTGGCCTTCATAATGTAAACTGTCTTCCAAATTAAAATCAGTGTAAAGCTTCCAAGGATTAGCTCTTACAGCTGCTTTGCTTGTGTAGCAGTAATTCAGTTAGCTCACGCAAAGATTTCGTCTGTACGTTTTGCCCCTTTATTTTGTTTTAAAGTTCTTAAAAGCCCTCTTATTAACAGCAGGATCTTATAGAACTTGCTGGTGCAAGGGCCAATTTCCAGAAAGAACTTTTGTCACTTCACTGGCCTTTTTGTCATTAATTAATGAAGACCCTACAAATACATGGTGCAACCAGGACATTTGGTTCTGAGAGCAGCCATTCCTGTGTGTATTCAAAACCTACAGTAAGATTTCAAGGCATCTTTACTTTTCCTTTGGAAAGTATAATGATGTTGTGTTCTGGTTAAAGGAATGAAAGATAAGAATAGAAATTAAGTGTATTTAGGCAACTCAAATATTTGAGTGAAATATTTTTTTATAGATTATCTAAAAAGTCCTTTCACAATTTTTCATGTAGAGTAGCTAAAAAAGCTACAGTGAGTTGTTAATTCAGAATCTAATAAACAAGCCTCTGATGGTGATTGCTGTGGCCCTTTTAATTTCCTCTGCCATTTTTCTATTAGAGGTGAGTTTTCAAGTTGACTACTGTGTGCAAAAGGTGAGTGCTCTTAGAGAAAACAGGCTACAGAACAAGAAGAAATGGGGAAAATATTTTATGTGTAATGCTGTGAAGTGAGCCAGCTGGACAAGCTGAATGCTCACACACATAAAATTGGGTGTTGTGACAACTGCAGATTTTTAGAAGTATGGAATTACAATGGCTGTTTTACAGATTTTTTTCACAGGAGAAAAAAAGTTAACTTTTAAACAGGGCCTTTTGGAAAGGATTAAAAACAGGTTTTGTTTCCTTCGGTGTTGCCTGAGTTTGTGTGGCTGCAGTTGGTGTCCATAGTCTGTCCCAGGAGCCGCGGAGGATGTTGCTGCCAGTGGGTCATTGCAGTGTGATTGCACAGGTAGAAGGAACAGTTGTAGAGGTAGGTGGGTGTTGGAGCTGTGCATTGCGTGCAGCAGGGAGAGGGAGGATTAAAGTATCAAAAGAAATAGACCAAAGGGGGAATAATGTGCTGGACATACTGTTACAGCCTTGCAGGGGAGGGAGGAGATGCAGAAGTCACGTGACCTCCCATGTCCTTGGTAGTTGGGAGGTTGTGTGTGTGGTAGCACCACACATCAGAGAGACTTCGTTAGCTGAGACTGCTATCTTGAGATGCGTCAGGTGTTAGTTAGCGATTGTGTGGTACAAAATTTGTACAAGTGCAGGCTGTGAGCTGTTTTGCAGATGGCACTTCGTTAGGACATGGGGAGACCTTCCCAAGAGCCAGCAGAGGCACAGGAGTTGCACTTAGTCTTCCAATATGTCACCTTGATCTTGCTGGACAACCTCCAAAAGCTGACCTTGCCTATGAACCCTGTAGGCCAGCTGGTAAAATTGCTAAGTCCTGTTTTCAGTTGATACATTTTTACCTTTCAATAGAGTATTTTTAGTGTTTTTGTAGCAATTACAAAGAAGGAGAAATGTGTT